CCCCCCTTATTTCCCTTCCCTCCCCCCCCCCTTATTTCCCTTCCCTCCCCCCCCCTTCCCTTCCCTCCCCCCCCCCTTTCCCTTCCCTCCCCCCCCTTTCCCTTCCCTCCCCCCCCCGCACCTGCGCCAGCCTCCTAACGTTCTTCAGCTCGCGCGTCTTCAGCTTCACAAGCCGCCTGAGGGCCTCCGCCTCCGCCTGCACATCCGCCAATGCAGCCGCCGCGGCCTTGCCGCTCGCCTGGCGCTCTCGGTCAAAGTCCTGCACCACCTGCTGCAAGCTGCTCTCCAAGGCGCTGATCCGCAACTGAGCCTCCTTCAGCGCCGCGGCCTGCCTGGCGCCGCGTTGCGCGTACCCCGCCTCGATGTCCGTCTTCAGACCGACCTCCCTGGTCAGCCGGGCGCGAGCGTCCTCCAGGACACGTACTTCGGCCTGAAGGGCCTCCGTTTCCTGTCCGTATTGTTTTTATATTGTTTTTAATTTTCATTTTTTCATTTTTTATTTTTTTGTTTGGGGATTGGACGGAATTGGAGGGGATTGGGTGGGATGAGGTGAGGGCGGAAGGTGGAGGGGAGAAAAGAATTTAGGGGTATGGCCGCAGGGCTCACCACACCACACCACACCATACACACACACCGCAGAAGCCATGCCCTAAGTGCCACATACCACACGCCACGTGCCGAACACCGCACCCGCCGTACACCGTGCGCGTCGCAATACACATCACCGTACACACACGGCACACGACACGCGGCCCAACCTGCACGTGTATTTTTAACTCCTCCGCCATTCTTCGGTTCTGCGCCAGGATGCGCTTCACCGAGGCGTCCAGCCGCTCGTCCACCTCCTCCTCCGCGCTCTTCTTGAGCTCCTCCAACCGCTGCTCGTACTCCTTTCTCATCCGCGTGTTGAGCTCAAAATAGTACCTGGTGGGTACGGTGCGGGTGGTGGTGGTGCGGGTGGTGTGGTGATGAGGCAGTAATGGTGGAATGGACAGAGCCTTGTCAGGGCCGTTGTTGGTGGCGGTGGTGGTGAAAGGGGGGAAAATGTTAACATGTATGCAGGTATACCTCAAACTCAATAACACACGACCACCACCACGGGTATATCTATACATATACATGTGTGTATGTTACA